AATTGCTCGCGAAACAAAGCGAAGTATTGTTCCCTGCGTTTTCGATTCATCGACCATACCGAACACCGATCTCGCCGCCAATTGCCAATAACGCGTGTTTCACGCGACAGAAATGCACATGCAGTGGTGGCAAAAGGGCGGCGAGAACCTTCGACCTTTACGCCGTAATATCCGTTTTAATGTCGCGGTGGTTATCGATGCACACATCGCGTGCTGTGCGTCAATGCCGTTGGCTAGATCAAAGTTTCTACGTTCAAGATGCGTCGATCGCACGCGTTCGTCCAGATAACGTGGCCAACGATCGTTAGATCGATAATGGCACACGAGTTAGCGACTGCCACGGATCCATCGGATTAACGTAATCGCATGAGATAAGAAGGGGCAAGAGGGAAGAAACTCGCTGATCATAGATTATTCTCTCGATCGGTCGAGAGAAATATTGAAGCCCGGTGTTGAGGGGAGATATTCTCAGCTACGTGTTTGATCTTCTCCCTTCTTTTTTTTTTCTTTCTTTCTTTCTCCACGAACGGAGGAGAAGTAAGATAAATGTTTCAACGATCGTTCGGAGTGACGCAAATGTCACCGTATTCCCTTCGATTTTTGTCGCAAACACACGCTAACCATTGAACATTAACACATTGAACGTACCAAGCGGGGTCAAATGATCCCTTTTCAAGATTTACTTTTCAAAATCGTGCATTCGTTGTTATTTCTTTCGCTAATCTGACTTTTTGTAAATTCTTATATCACCTTGATTATTCAATTTCTCGTTTCCTTCTTTTTTTCTTAGCTTATTTCTTACCGAGAAAAATTCTTTGCATACCTTATGTACCGCGGACCGTCATTTGATTATCCCTTATGGTAAGATACGTATATGTAAATATGCCGGTACGTTTAGTGTTAAGGAAGAATGTTAGGCCGCCGGGTTAGTCTGAAACTTCGCACGCTTCTGCAAGAGGTCAGTTCTCTTATTCTTGGCTGGCTGTTTAAAAATTCATCGGCCACCAATTACACGGTACAGGTGTGCGCAATTATTTTTAGCCGCACGTGTTCCGAGGGTGCAGTGTGGCACGCGTTACGGATTCCGCTCGTTTCGTTTCAAGGGCGTAGAAAAAAAGGGAGGGAAAAAAAAAAAAAAATTCCGGGTTAAAAAGGGTATTAAGCGGAACGTGAAACAAAGGAGAACTCATTTATCACGAGAAACCTGCGGCCAGAATAATTAGTCGTTAGTAGTTTGACAGCCTCCGTTGAAAATTTAACTTTGCTGGTGAAACCGAGAAACAACAGTTTTCCTCTCCTCGATCGTCGAGAAAATCACTGTCGAGATTCCCTGCATGAAGGATGTTCCTTGAGGAAGGGCAGGGTGAATGATCAGCTCTGGGGACAGCTGACAAGATCCGGGAGAAACATTCTTCATCCTGTCTCTCTTTGACAGCCGTCAACGATCGGGTAGACCTCGAAGACACGGCCGGAGGCTTCCGATTACGAAACCGTGGCTTCGTTTCACGAAGCTTTCATCGATACCAACGCAATATCAACGTTGTGACATCCGCAGAGGAATCTATGCCCGTCAATTTATGTAAAATCGATCGACGCAAATCGGTCCTCGTCTTTTGCAAATTCGAGCGAATCGTACGAGGCGAAAATAGATCAAAAAAAAACTCGACGACTATGGCGGTGATATGAACGATATCGAAGCAGCTCTCTCTCTCTCTCTCTCTCTC